GATCAGCTGGTCAATTAAAAAACCGGGAGGACGGTTTTCCAAATGGGGTTCACTTGATATCCTCTGTCCCTGTTGAGGTTGTTAGGGTTTTTATGGATCTCCAAACCCTCTCGGTATTTCCTTTCGAAATACCCTTGAGACTTGGCCAGCATTTTGGCTTGGTCGTAGTGGATAGTATGTCCAGTATCCATCCAGTGTTCAGCCAGGGCAGACTGTTCTAAGTGACCGTATTTGGAGCACCGCTGGTGTTCTTTGATCCGTGTACTGATCTTCCTCCCAGTTTCTCCAATGTACACTTTCCCGCATGAGCAAGGGATCTCGTACACTCCTGGTGTACTCAAGGCTCAAGAACACGTGTTCGTTCGGTCGTTAGGAATGCATTTTTATAAACATTTTCTTTTCAATTTTAAATTAATTCTTCTCGTCTTTTTGAATAATTGTAGCGAAATATGTTAAGTTAAAATTCACTTGACATTTGAGTTAATTGAGAATAATTATTTTTAGTAAATTTTGAATAAAGTCTTTCTCATTAAAAAGAGAATTATTTTTAATTACCAGTTTTGATAAAATCAAATGTTTTAATTTCTCAATTCTCTCAAATATCGTTCATTCAAACTATTTCTTTTTCGAAACATCTTATTCACGTTTAATGTGAATATTTGATTTTCCAATATNCTTATTCACGTTTAATGTGAATATTTGATTTTCCAAAATTCTCAATTGAGAGAATTTTGTATTGTCAAATAATAATTATTCAATAAGATTAATTGAACTTTTTCAAACGTTTGAAAACTTTAAGTAAATAATGTTATAGATTTAAATTAGAATAATTTTAATTAATTCAATTAATGACGAGATCGTGGAGGGACAATATGGGACTCCTGAAACGATTCTCATTGGTTAGTTGGGGTTGGAAAAGTCCGCCCACACCTCAACGTAATTTTCCAGTGCTAATGTGGAAGAGGGTGGAGTACCTCTGAAACATTGGGACTCATGTGTGTGGAGAGGGAAAACTCCAGGCCAAGGCCAAACGTAATTGGTCCCTTGAGTCTTCCCTCCAAATGAGTGCAAGGGCACACCCTTAGTGTAGTTGATAAAACTATCTGCACTTCGGGGTGTCTAGTTAGTTCCTTTACAATTCCCAAAGTGGAATTTTAATATCGACCCATTGGGCGATTTCTTTTAAGAATCTTTGATTCTTTTGTCCAGAATCTTGTATGATTCTTTTATAAGTATTTTGGACTTTTATTCATTTAAAATTAAAATTTTGTTTTAAAGTGTTTCTTTCGAATTATACTTTTAGTTTTGCCTAAATTTGTTTAATTGTAAAATCAGTTTGTGTGAAGAAGCAAATTGTTAGAGTGGATTTAGTGTGTGCGGCATTTTAACCAATTTGGATTAGCAGTGTTTGCAGTTACTGTAAGTTCTTAAAAAAATGTAATTTCTATCAAATTTTGAACTCATTTTTAAAATACAGATTGGTAAGAATCAAATTAGTAAAAACTAAATTCTTTTCATTTTTAAAACCTTTTCTCTTCCTTGAAAATATTCCTTTGTTTATTTATTCTTGGAGGTGAGTGAATAGTTTTTTTTTTCTTCCTTTTTAATTAATAATTTTTCAAGTTTACCGGGAATTTCTAGTAGTCAATAATTTTTTCTTTTTGATTCCATTCATCATCAGGGATCCACTTTATGTCAGGGTTAAATTCAATTTTTATAATTTCTTTACCTAACTTTGACATAACAGCACAGCTTTCCTGTGAGTTTTTGCAATAGAAACAATTTCATAGGAATAATCAATAGAATTTGAACTTTTCATACACAATGGTTCTACGATAAATTTTCGTTGGAAAATCTTTCTCGGAAAATTATTCCCCAAAAATACAAGTTCCCCGGCACAACTTCGAAAATTAACCCCAAGATAAAACAAGGTAAAATCCTCTCCACCCGAAGAGTAAAACACAGAAAATCTATGGAAATATGAAAAGAAATTTTATTCAACGCATTAACGTACAAATAAACATCAAATTCCAAAGTGCTGAACAGTATTAAACAGAAGACGGGAATCATTAAACACGTTTCAAAATTATAATTTCAAAGTCGAAATAATGTCCTATATGAAAAATGAGAATCACTGTACAAAAGAATATAAGAACAATTTCTTGGGGAACGAGTACCCGGTAACTCCCTCTTACATGCGTTAAAAAGTACATGCAGAATTACTGTGGAGTATGGCAAAATAGATTCATTTCGACATATTCGAAAAAATTTAGGTGCTAACTCCCGAAATTTTGTTGGGACAGACGAATATTTCTTGGACTTGACGCGAAAATTTTGCGATTTTTTTCGAGTCCAATGGAATAAACCCATTTTTTCTGTGCATCAAGGAAATCAAAAGGTGCTGATGAAGCATTCAATTCATCTACTTCCTGTGATTATTTTTACCTGTAATATTATTGAACTCTAACATTTAGAGGTATACCCGAAAATTATCAATGAGAAGCTAAAACGAATGCACTATAAATCCTTCATTGATGGTTCCAGGCTGTCACCAACCCTCTCCAAGCATTCTTCAATGCCCTGGTCTATCAAAGATGGGGCAGAAGGGAAAGATTCTGTGTCTGGTGCATAAGATTATTGCCATGTGCTACCGTGGACCAATCAAAAGAGAATTTCAGTGAACTAAACGAAGTTTCACCATTAGTCACTCCACAATACGGTTGTTGTACACCTCACACCAGCATCAATGGCTCATCTTCATTATGAGAACTGTTATCAAGACTGTGATACTTAGGAGTTATGTATTCAATAATGATGTATTAATGATGCTCTCAGATAAATCAATAAATCATTTTTCATTATTGTAATAGTTGAATGTTACTATTCGATTTATTACTGCGCTTCATCAATCATTTTATTTTTAAACTATAAATTCGGCAATAGAAATTGAAATTCAAAGAAAAAACTAGCTTGTTCAGTCATGATGTGAAACGTCATGGTATGATGTGAAACGTCAAGAAATGTTAGGAGATCTCTTTTTGTTGATGAGGTGGAAATTATGAAAACGTCTCTGAATTTGTTTTGTAATTTTCGCAATGAAGAAAATTTTATCACGATAGGGTAAAGGAAGCGTGTACAAGTCAAGCTCATATGTACCAATAATACATAAATAAAGGAAAGGAATAATTGCTGAATAGGCCTTTTGCAATATAATTCAATACGTTTCACTGTGTACTATTGCAGTTTATGATAATAATTAAATGATTGACTAATTATAAGCGCAAAAAATGATAGTAATAATAATAATAAAATGAATTGAGAAATAAAATTAGTAAGTTTATTAATCTGAATTTGATTATGAAAGAGTACGTGAATTGATCCATAATTTAATATTGAAATTTATAATGAATTAAGAGTAACAGAAATTATTTTCCAATAGAGTTTATCTTTCCTGCAGGAAACGTTGTTTGTCCTTCAAATTCCACCCAAAAGGCAATTGTGGGCCTTGAAACTCAAGTTTATACGTAGGAAAAAATTTGATAAGAAAACCTAACGAATTCGTTAGAAAATTATATTGTATTTCTATTCAACTTCTATTAGTTTTTCGTCGATTCTATTGAAAAATTCCGCTGCTTTTTGCACGTTTTTTTTAACAGAAAATGTAAAAAAAAACTATCTTTATAGAAACAAAACTGTAGAATTTAATGTTTTTATTTTGCTATAGGAATTCGTCAACATTAATTTACTAAGATCCTGTCGCATCAAACCCAGTCAAGTAGCTATGTAACTTGGACAGCAGTTAGCATTAGAGTAAATTTTTTTTTTTTTATTTAATGAAAAAGAAAATTTCAATCCAATTTTTTTCTAGGGTGAACCGATCTAGAAAAAAATGAGATTGAAATTTTCTACTCTGATGGTAACTGCCGTCCAAGTTACATAGCCACTTAAGGAAATCCTCAGTCAAGTATCGGAATAAATAAAAATAATTTTCAGATCGATTTTGATCGACGGTTGATCGAAGGTATTTCACAAAAAAAACGTGGTGTATCGATGTATCATCCAAATTTGCCAATAATATCACTAATTATGAAGTATTTAGTCAATATTCGCAACTGAATGTGTAATAAATTGTGGAATAAATTTACTCCAGACATAAATTTATTCTCATTATTTTTCCAAGCCAAATATCGGGCAATATAATTGGCCCATTCGACATCACGTGGTACAAGCTACAGGGTTTTCAACTGATAATTTTTTGATAATTTTCTCTGGTAGTTGCTATATAAAAAACAAAACATCATGCAGTCGAATTAACCCCTCGTCAAACTGACAGATTGAATTCAATTGTGGTAATCCGAGGATTTTTATTCGAAATGAGTGTTAATTATACAATTTTCGTTTCTCAATTGTGAGTTTCGTCTTATGGTCCAATTATATTGCCCGACATTTGGATTGGAAAAATAATCCCCCGAATACCACACGAGCTTCAAAATTAATCGAGCATTTTCCTCAAGGTTCCCTGCATACAAACGAAGTCGTCAAGATTTTCAGGAAAAATCACTCGTGCTTCGCACTCGTGATTTTTTAGCCTGAAAAACTTGACTCCTTCGTTTGTTTGCAACGAACCTATCGGGAAATACCCGATAATTTTGAAGCTCTTGTGGTATTACAAGTGATAATTCATTTGGTTAACAGGGCTTGCCTTAACCGGCCTTAACATTTTCACTCAATTTTTTTATCCTCATTTAAAGAATTCAAGAAAAAAAAATAGAATTTTTAAGCCGAGGAATTTCTACAAAAAATATCTCAATAGAATGAGTTGTATACGTATAAAAATGAAATTTTAATTTAAAAAATCGATTTTGTTGATAAAATATTTTTTACTGAAAATTTCTACGGCAAGCCAAGGTTGGACATCTGTCGATAATGGCAGTTTTTTACATGACATTGTAAAAAACCCGTAATTTACGTAATAAATGTAAAAAATCACCTTGTAAAACTCGCCAGGATCATACGTCTCGAGGGTCACGCCTCGTAAGGGTCATACCGTGCAAGGGATGAATTTTACAAGGATCAATCGCATTATTTATTGATCTCTATTGAATTCGTCGCGTCACTATCTTTTGTCTAGACATTAACTTGTTTCATTCAGCATTCTTAAATGACAAAACTAATTCAATTGTCTTTGGTAACTTTTTTGAAGTTCAGAACAAAATAGTTCTTTTTAGGTCCAGCTGGGCTTTTCCGGGGCTCTAAATAATAAAGTGGAGAATCCAATAAAGCTCAATAAATAATGAGCTTGACTTTCTCACAATGGAGATGACTTGCGACTTCAGTCTTTTGCAACATTTGACCCTCGTGAAATTTACTCTTTATGAGGTATGAGGCTCATGTTTTTGAGTTTCTTAAGATGCCGCGAATCGTACCACGTGACGTAATAGTACATTATGTCAGCAGGCAATAAAAGTAATTTCTGCCGAATGTAGTTTTATAATCCGAGCTGAAGGCGAGAATTTTAATTAGAAGAATTAGAAAATAGTTTTCTCGCCGTGTGACATACAATATTTCATGTCTCTGGGCCCGAAAACCGCGATTTACCCGTGAGAATCGATGTTAGAATCGCCGTTTTACGGTTCTAGGGACATAAAATAATATTGAGATCCGCGTTCTAACCGAACAAAGTGAAGTTGAAATTCGCGGTTTATCTGTCCTCGGGACGTGATATACTATTTTTTATGATATTTATGTGTCCAATATTTATGCGAAATAAAATAAAACATTCTAGTAACCGGAAATTGCAAGCTTTTCAAGTAATGTAAAAAATGTAAAAAACCCGTCGAGGTGATTTACGTAAATTACGGCGGTAAGAAACTGTGTAATTTATCAACGTAATTTACACACCCAACTTTGATTGCAACAAAACGTGCCGAGAAGCCGAAATCTTCAAAACACTCAGAACAAGTGTTGTGTAACGTCATACACTAGTCTCAATTCCTCATGACTCTAATCCTATGTTAATCCTCCCCACATGGGAATGAATTAATTGCCGAAGAAAAACAACGAATGCAGATGAGGAATAACCACTTCAGTTTCAATTGTTGTTTCGATACTTTCAAATGTAGCAGAATACTTGTCGATAAATACTTTGAAGTTTTAAAGAATTGTCGGGATTAAGAAAATACTCCCAGAATCCCTCAGTGTTAAATAACAGTAAAAAATCGAATTAAAATTCCTGACAAGCTTAATTTTCAATTGAAGAATAAAGAAAAAATTCAAAATTATAAGCGAAAGACGCAACTCATTTCTTCTTCAACAAAGAAAATTATTTGAATTTGAAAATGAAATTCAATATTGAGTCAACGACCTCATATAATAGTATCCATCCAGCATATCAGTATACAGAGCAATTTGACAATAATGTGGAGACTTATCGTGAAGGAACCAAGTGGTTTGGAATATTGCTGGCATTCATGTCCGGTACATTTTTCACCATAAGTTCTGGGCTCGTTAAAGCCGTCAGGAATGTTGATCCGATGGTGCTCCTTGGAATTCGGGCCATTTTGCAGATAGTGGTGATGCTCGGGGTGGCTATCAGGCATGGAAAAAATATTTCAGGGCCCAAGGGTTCGAGAATGTTAATCCACTTCCAGGCGAGTAATTTTTTAAAATTAAGGCTCCATTACCTGCCGAACGTTATGTAAATTGATTTTTTAATCAATCTAATTAATCTAATTCAATTTTCATCTTGAATTTCAACTCGATGCCACGTCACTCAGAGAAAGCCAAAAATTCTGAATTTAAATTGAAAAAAAGTAAAAAAAATTCAGAACATTTTGACAGATCGTTTTTAATTAATATTGAGAAGTGATTTCTATAGAAGAGATATGAATAATATATAATTACCGTGGCAAGTGGCGGCCTATTAGTCGCCACCATGGGGGAGGAAAGACGAAATAATAAACCCTCTAAGACACCTTAACAAGATACAAAAGAAGGCTCTTTGCAAAAATTTGTAACATTTTTAAGAATTTTTTGATCACACTTTTACGATGAAATTACTAATCACTTACGCCAATCTCCTCCATTGATTATTGTACTGACAATGAGCTGTCACTTTTGTCGGAAATTGAAAACGTAGAAAAATCGCTCCTGTTTTTTGTGCCCCCAGTAAAAGTGACAGTTGACAAACAGTACAATTTTCAATTGAGGAAAATAGTGTAAGTAATTAGTAATTCATCGTAAAAGTGGGATCAAAATATTTTTTAAAATATTACAAAATTTTTCAAAGAGCTTCTTTTCGTAAAATCGTCTGGCTCCGCCGTGTCAAAGAATTTATTATTTCGTCTTTTCTGCCCCCATGGTGGCGACTGACAGACCACCATTTGCCACGGTAGCTATACATTATACATTATTCATATGTCTTCTATTGAACTCATTCCTCAATATTAATTAAAAACGCTCTTTCAAAATGTTCAAAATTTTTGTACTTCTTGATTCAATTCAAATTCATAATTTTCGAGGATTTCTGAGTGACGGGGCATCGAGTTGAAATTCCGAGATAAAAATCGAACAAAAAAGCAAACTAGATAATAGAGCCAGGCCTTAGTAAAAAATTATTGAATGAATAAATAAATCAATCAATAATGAAATAATGAATTGTTTTTACTCGAGTTCAGGTCTGTAAAAATGTTTAAATTCAATTTGTTTTGTTCATAGAAATATTTCGTTTATAGAAAAGAATTTAAAAAATTTCGGTTCATTACACAGCTTATTCTGTTGCAATTATTTTTCAGTGAAATTAATTTTATGAGAAACATGAAAATATTATAGTAAAGAAAAATCTTGGACAATTCGTTCGCAAGAATTTGAATAGAATTCCTACAGAGATCCAATAGAATTTTCTACCGAGAACTAAATTAGTTCTCACATATTATTTTTTAGGGGATTGTTGGAGGAATGACCCTTGCTCTCTTATACTACAGCTTTCGAAAGTTACCATTAGGCGATGCAACAACAATAATCTTCAGCTCACCGGTCATCGTAATCGCTCTCTCATTCTTGTTTCTGAAGGAACCCTGTGGGGTACTAAGGGTCGTTGTCATCTGCACTCTATTCACTGGAGTTGTTTTAGTATCGAGACCACCATTCATATTTGACGTGAGTGCGAAACATGAAAATCAATAATAATAATTTTCAAACTTAAATACCCAAATTTGGATAACTAATGATCTAAAAGGCCATGTCAACAACAAAATCCTAACCAACTCTGAACTGAAATCTAACAAATGCTAAGCTGTTAAAATTCAAGAGTTAAAATTCATTCTATCTCATGAATTAGAAAAAAACAAGTTTCCACCTTAAAAATGGAAATCTTACGTTTCATGTTAACTACTGGATCATAATGGTTCATGGTTTTCATTGATTTTTCCCTTTGATTTCGCATGCAACTAACTCCAACCCTTTATCTTGTTCTGTTGTTCAAATATCGTTGAAAATAACAGCAGATAATATAATTCAACTCAGGCGGGGGCCTGTTTCCCAAGTGAATTGGCATAATTTTCGTTAACGGAAGTGGTCCCAGGCGTTGCGTTTACTGAGTCACTTGCATTAACAGAATCATTTCCGATCCACTCGAAAATAGGATCCCCCTAGTGAAGTGGTATAAGGAAAGATTTAACCCTTAATTTGGAGATCAATTATCATAAATTCTACAAAATATGCAATAAAATTTTATACTTTTTTTGTAACTTTTATTTTACTCTGCAAAGAAGTAACTCGCAGGAGGGTCCTCACCTTCCTTAAACTTGAAGATATTTACCAGAAACTCATTGCCTAGTTGTGTTAACTTGTTAATCGATGATAAAAATTTTGAGCAATTCTCATTACAGGAACGAAAACAAAAAACTTTAAAATGTATAAAACAGAAGCACAACCGCCTCTTGACTGGTCTTGTTGAGTTTTCATGACAATCTTTCTAGTTGAAGAGTTTCATCTGTAAAAAAAAATGATGACATTGATTCACCATTTATATAAAAACGTTCATCGTAGGTCACGTAAAGTTAATGGATATTTTTTTTCAAATTTGCATGAAACTAACTATCTTATCTATCTTATCTCCATAAAACATTTGAAGAGGAAATCTAGGTAGATTCTAGAAAAATTAATAGATAATCCAATTGTGATCATTACTATCTTATATGAATTGCAGATGAATGTCATCATTTACCCTTTTCGAAAGGAACAACTTGAGTGTTAACAACAAACGACAAAGTCTAAAAAATTTTCTAAAAAATTAGTGACAAACTACGTCAATTAAAAATGAATGTCATCCTTCACATTTTTCAAATGACGTACCTTAAAATCCTTGAAGAAAAATGTTTTTAAAAGCTTTTCTATTCTATTCTATTTAGAGCCACCAACAATCCTACGATGTGATGGGCTACGTGTATGCTCTCCTGGCGACCTTCTTCACAGCCCTAAATATAGTGGTCATGAGAAAATGCTCAAAGGTTCACTATGCAGTTCTCGTGCTAAACCTATCAGTTTGGATTCTCCTGTCAGCTATTTTTTTCTTCCTCGTTGTCTCAGAGGCTCACCATCACATCAGAGCTTTCCCCAGTGATTGGCAGACGTGGGGATTGATATGTTTAGTCGCAGCAACTGGATTATGTGGTCAAGTGCTTGTAACGAAAGCACTGAAGATCGAAGGAGCTGGCAAAGTCTCAGTCACTCGATCTCTCGATATTAGTCTAGCCTACATCATTCAGGTTTATTTCTTCGGAGAAGTTCCCAACTCTACCAGTATCATCGGTGCAATTCTTATCCTCATGTCCATCATGGCAATGGGTTTCGAGAGGGAAATCTATGGAGTTTGTGATTTCATACCTTAGTGCAGGAGATGTTAGCAAATTTTTGTACCTCTCAACTATTTTCCCGAGAAAAAGAAAGTTGATTTAGCGCTGTTATGGACATTTCTGTCCCATTTAACAATTCCTTTCAAATATCTCAATAAATAAGAAAAACCAAGTCCTATCTAATCAGAATATCAAGAGACAATCCTCCCTAAATCCGATTATACTTCGTGACGTTGAGAAAATAATTACCATAATACAAAACAGCTCAAATATATATCCATTAATTAATTATTTATTCAAAGAAAAATACAACTACAATTAACAGTAAATTGCGTCACCATACCATACCCAATAAAATATGTACAATTTACGCCTTCCATCGTCTCATACTCCTTTATTAATTATTTAGCTTTGTCTCTGTGAATTATCATTACTATTCAATATTTTTGATCCAAATCTTGACAAAATCCAATATCCACCCTTGTCACAATAATTAGTTACTTAGAGGTAACAAAAGTGTACTTCATTTAAAGAATCTAGTTATACTAATTTGCCATCAGAATACAGCGTTGTATTTCTTACTTTAATATATTTATTTTTTAATTTTTATGTTGACTTAAATTTAAAATTATAATATTTGCTTTTTCATTATTCTAACTTTAATTTCTCTCATATGTTAGATTGTTTTTTTAAATCAATATTTGTGAATTAAAGTTCTACCATGCAATACAATTTTTCATTTGTAATTTTACACTAAATTATTCTGCCTAATTACTATTTTAGTCATCCTTAAAATTACCATAAAGCACAGATAATTACAGATTCATGATTATTATTTCATTCAATTTGAATCATGAAAAGTCAGCAATAGACGTAATGTGAATATTTCTGTGGTGTCTTAGGTTTATTAAAGTTTCTCGACACTTTTGCAAAAACAAATTCTCCTCAGCTTTTCTCTTTTACTTTCTCTGCTCAAAATTCGAATGAAGGCTCTAATGTAATTTTTAGTTTTTGTAAATTTTATTTACATCTTTTTATCGTCAAATTTACAGTTTTACAAATTGTATAAAATTTCCTCACATTTTGTTTTACTCTTTTTACGGGAATGTCCGGAGTTTCATTTTCTAATTTTTTCGTTTTCACATATTTTCGAAGTGAAAGTGGATAAAGGGAAAAGAAAATAACTGAACGAAAAAAATTAATGAAATGAGGAAGATCAAGAGATATTCAGCCTCTTAACGAAAATCAATTCATAGAGCAAGGAGCACAACCTCTCAAAGTATCAACAGTAAATAAAAAAATGAAAAGAAGATTATCTTTAATAATTAATAATGAATTACACAAGTGCTGAATACAAAGAAGTGTCGAAGTGAATTTAAACGAGAATTGAGTGAAAATAAAGAACATTCGTTTAATCAAAATAGTTGACTCTAACGCATCGTTTTTTTGACATATCCGGAACAATCAAGAATTTTTTGATGAAACTTAATTCACTTGAGAGCCAGGAAAATTTCCAATTTTCCACTACGTAAAAGTTTTTTCATCCCTTCAAATTCTCGAAGGACAAATTTCTCATCAAATCTTGAGAACATGAAAAGTTGGAATACTCGGTTGGAAACGAATATCGACGGAAATTTTCCCATCTGCATCCACCGGAGTCACTTTCAACCCCCAAAAAAATTGAATGTACAGGAATTTCTATGAATATTGTCTCAAAACTTAACGCGAAAAAATTAATATCTCTGCTGAAACTATAAACGGGATTCGGGTGAAAATGGTCCCATCTTAAAGCTGACGAAATTCTGGATGAAAACCACCACCTGGTGAAGCCTCTTCGTCGGTTAGTTCTCCTGGAAATCCGCCATTTCCCATTCATCTCAAACATAATTCCTAACCTGGAACCTCACCTTCGGGGACTGTATCCCCTCACCTTTCTGACTTCACCCCTCCCTCCCACTCCATCTAACCACCACACTAATGTACCATAATCTCCGTACTAAATCAAATGTGTATAGGTACATGTACAAGTAACTCCGCACGACTTGAAAAAACAGCCGAGCACATTTCACATGTGTACTCAAGTGTATCCGGAACAATAGTTTCAGGCACCTCCTCCTCGAGTAACCTCCTGGTGGCAGCAGGCTCCACCTTGACTCTAAGACTGACCTTGTCCGGCACAACAACATTGTGATGAACAGATTCCAGATCCGGTAGAATGCTCTCGCCATTCTCCTCCATAGTCTCCTCAAAGCCAACTTCCATTTCCATAGCGACCTTGGGCACCTCATCAACAACTTCATCCTCCGGTAAGTGCTCCTCAACAACTTCCTCCCTAGGTTCCTGTTTGATAGGTCTGCCAACCCTCTTGCCCCCCTTCTTCACTTTCTTCTTAGCCTCAATCTCAGGGAGATTGAGATTATCTCCATTAGAATAATTGGCAGCTGATCTCCTAGTGGTCATCTGAGGCTCACTCTTGACGTTGACCTGGACAAATTCCTGAGGAGGCGGTGGTGTTGGTGTTGGTGTTGATGATGGTGGCGCTGGTTCTGGTTCTGCTAGTTGTGCTGGAGGTGCTTCAATGATCTCAGCTGTTATCCCTGGGAAAGTAGCGGGGATGACATTCCTCCCGTCCACATGATAGCTAACATTCTTAGTCCTCGGTCGGTTTCGCTCACCTCCAAGGAATATCCCACGCTCCCCGGGCATCACCTTTGGCGTCCTCGTAACCATGGTCTTCGTCTTCTGTCCCTTCTTCACTCCATCACTACCAACCTCAACCGGCACTCTCGTCTTCTGCGTGTGAATCATCTTCGGGCGTCCTGAATTGGACGCTGTGCTGCTCTCAGGCACCTTCTTCTCCTCCTTCTTCAGCTTTTTCTTCACCTTTCCACTCTTGCTCGCCTTCGTACTACTCACAATCGAGTTGATATTCTGAATCGAACTCTCAAAGGACTTTAGAACAGATTGATAACCCTCATCAATAGATCGTTTTGTACTCTTCTTGGTTTTACGTTTGCTATTCTCATCGGATTCAGAAAGTTCGACGGTGTCGAATTCGTTTCTCTGGGGAATTGTCGGGCTCTCATGAGGCTTGAGTTTTCTCCTCCGTTTGTATTTCCTGGGTCCAACCTGCGGCTGTCGCCTCAACGCCGTGTTGTCATCGCAGTGCTGCACAATATGCAAAATGATCTCCTCGGATGATCCAAAAGAATCTCCACACACCTTACAGAGATACGGAGTCAGGCTTCCATGACACTTGGGATCAGGCCCTGAGTGATGTGCCCGAACATGTTCTCGAAGGACTACTCTCTGATTGAACGCTCTGGGGCAGATGGCGCAGCCGTACGGCTTTTCTCCAGTATGAATCCTCTCATGTTTCCTCAATGTTCCACCATCAGCGAAAGCTTTCCAGCAGAATCTACAACCGTATGGTCTCTCACCCGTATGAATCCTGATGTGAATCTGCTGAGAACTCCTGCTCCCAAATGTCTTTCCACACTCTCTACAAGGAAAAGATCTTCCCCCCAACTCCTTATTATGTGAGTGTCGGTGGGACACCAGTGCCCTACCATCAGGAAACTCCTCCCCGCATTCGTCACAAGCCACCATTTTGTTTCTGTGGCTCACCATGTGCCTTCGTAAGCGCGCTTTCGAGTGGAATCGCTTGCCGCACTTTGTGCAGCCGAAGGTCTTATCGGTATTATGAACCCACGAGTGTTTCAACAAACTTCGCTTGTCTTTGCACGTTTTCCCACACAGGGTACACGTATTAGGAGGCGCGTCCTCCCCGTGAATGAGTCGCACGTGTTCCGCGACTTCTGCGTCATCTCGACAGCGTTCTCCGCAGAGGAGGCAACGTCTCGTCGGAGATCTCGCGTGGAGTTCGGCATGGGCTAGGAGTGCCAGTGCTTCTTCGAACCACTCCCCACAGACGTTACACACGTGGTGGTTACTCGCGTCCACCTGCTCACTCCCACCTTCCTGTTTCACGTGAATCTTTCGATGGCGTTTGAGAAGGTCGAGACGGTGAAAAGGAACACCGCAGGTCTCGCAGTAGAACTCACCGAACCTATCGTCCCCGGTATAAGGGGTCTCCGAAGCCTCGAATTCATCGATCGGGGATTGGGTGACGCCGTGCTTTATACGGATGTGATCGCGAAGGGCATTTACGTCCCAAAACATATCACCGCAGTTTGTACACTCAAAGGGGCTGTCACCGCCGTGGATTCGCGCATGGGAAGCAAGGGCCTTCTCCCGGGCGAAGCCCACACCGCAGTACTGGCAGACGTATGGTTTTGTAGGATCGGTTATTGGCCATCGAGGGGCTGAATTCGGCCGGGTGGTCATTTCCTCAAGGAGGCGCATGTCCTCGTCGACGTAATCAAAGGATTTTTGGAGCCTTGGGGGCTTGTCTGCGTGATCTAGGGAGGTGTCTAATGGGTTCAGGGGACGCTTTTGAATAGCTTTGCGCTTTCGCGGAGCTTGAGGTTTCTTTCGACGGCCCTTGGGGGGATCGTCGTCATCTGGAAGATCCTCGGATTGGAGGTCGTCCTCCAGACCGTCGCGAGTGGGGGCGTACGCGTGAATTTTCAAATGATTCATTAGGTCGCACTTACGGACGTAGCGGGCGCCACATAAATTACAGCCGTGTGGGCGATCAGTTTGATGCGCCACCATGTGATTCATCAGGTTTGCCTTTTTTCGAAAACGACGGCTGCAGAAGTCGCATGGATAAGGTCGGGTATTTGTGTACGAGTCCTGGTCTATCGGCAAGGGAATCTCCATGTCATCGTACTCCAGGAGATTATCGTGGGAGACTTTGGTCTCTGGGATCTCGACGCTGAGGAGAAAAAAAGTATTTTGTTATTTGGTCAGTTGATGGAAATCGTTTTGGCTAGGGCTGCGCACGATACCGCCCAAAAATAGTCGAGACGATACCAAGACGAGACTGCCGCTGGAGCAAGACTTTTGGCGAGAGTCTCGTCGCGTCTCGTCGTTGGAAATTTTTTTGGGTCAAATGAGTCCAGAGGGACAGATGAGTATGAAGGTCCAGTAAGTTATAAGTGTTAGGTAGATAATGGGAGTCCTCATCTGACCGTCAGACTTATTTGAGCCATAAATCCTGCAATTATTTATATCTTGATGATTGATTCATGTCATTCTGCAAAAACATACTTAATGGTTCATTAATGGTTAAATTTAAAAAACTACTTGTTGAAATTCATTAACTAGTTATTGAGATTCCACAACTAATTATTAAAATTCGACAACTAGTTGGTAATTCTTCTTTTTAACAACTATTACGAAAGGATAGTTGAATTGGTGAGATTAATAATGTAATGTCATGAATATTGCAAAACTAATGAGAATGAAACAGAATAATTGACAGTTGATTGTAATAAAAGAGAAAAATGAATCATGAAGACAAATTTTTTCCTCCTATTTCCCAAGTTTTATACTCTTGAGACCAAAACGAGACGATACTCTTTAAGCCGAGACTGAGACGAGACCGAGAATCTTCTCGCACGAGAAGAGTTGAAGAGCAGATACTCTCCAATGTCTTATCTTGTCTCGTCTCGTGCGCAGCCCTAGTTTTGGCGGAGGTACTGGGGATCTTTTTCAATAAATTGGCGACACATATTTTTGCTACAGCTTGACTTCTAATTGACAGCATCAAGTACATTGTTAGGAAGCTATGGGTCATAAAAGGGTCTTTCTGAATATGGTCACGATAGAAGAGGGTGGATTCCTCGGTGATGAAAGTATAGATCATTAAAGAATGGGAAGGAGCAAAAAGGGTGAAAAGGCTTTAGTCTGTACATGATCAGCGAAGGTGGCCAAGGCATAGGCAGCAGCCAGAATGACCATTTGGAACACAGTCACGGTAGGAAACGCCGGGTTACTCTCTTGAAGGTAAGGATGGTCAAAGGATAGGTAGATTACAAGGTTCATTCTGACAATGATCACCATCGCCCTCTTGATGTTATGGATCTTCAAAGAATAGGAAGGGGCAGGAAAGGCTGAAAGTGTCTGAACATAGTCGTGATAGGAGAAGGAGGGTTGCCCTCAGGAATAATCAAGTAATAGAAAAACTTTAGAAGGATAGTTTTTTTAACTGGCCGATAAGAGACATTATTGTAATCACTCTCAAAAATGATTTTCCATTTTTTATCAAACATTGACATTTCGATGTCTCCCCATTGCTTTCCACTTATTTTCAACATGGCTGCATGTATGTGTGGGTACGAATGTATGTCACAAAATTTTGGTTTACGCTTTCTCAACAATGGATAATTTAATGCAATTAGGTTCTGATCAATATCTATCGAGCGATTTTTCAGTTTTTTAATGATTAAACAATGAAAAAAATATTCCTCCAATTTCTCATACGAAATAGACAAATCGGGAAGGAGGCCTTGGTACGGCCGCAAGGGGTCACACTTACTCCAAACTATTGTCAATAACGCACCCACTTTCGGGAGCGAGCGTAGTGAGCGGACAACAAACCTCTCCACTAGTTTCTGTTGCAAATGCGTAAAGTGAAAATGATGAAAATTAGGACCGACTTAATCATCTGCGAGACAACAAACAAGGGATTCTTATATATGTATTATAGCGTAGATTTACATATGTAACGTGATATGACCACTCTAGTGGTTCTGTTAACCAGAAGAGGACTACGCGATCGAACCTCAGCTGCGGTTTGCCGTGACGTGATACGTTCCAGAGTCACTGATCTTTTGTAGAATACAATAATGTTATAATATATTTATAACTCTAAAAAAATGTAAGAAGAAGCTACTTCTGTATGAGCGGCTTCAGGAATTTCAGGTGTGGGTTTGAACCTCAACATTTTCGCCCATTTTATTCATCATTAATGATTACTATTTATCAAAATTAAGCAAAATTCATGCCAATTTCGGTATTTTGGATTGAAATTTTTTTATCCGGTATAAAAACTGCCATTCCTTCTGCGAAAAAGAAAGCCCAGTCTAAAAATTGTAGATGGCAAAAAGAATAGTTCAAGTTGGTGATGACGGCAAAAAAAATCGAAATTTCAAAAAAACACAGTTATTGCGAAAAAACGTTCAACCATATGTATATGCCATATCATATACAAATTTCCGTAGAAAAATATATTGTAATTTTTCTTGTCAAACAGACACCTCTGTGACGTATTGAGACTNCCCCATTGCTTTCCACTTATTTTCAACATGGCTGCATGTATGTGTGGGTACGAATGTATGTCACAAAATTTTGGTTTACGCTTTCTCAACAATGGATAATTTAATGCAATTAGGTTCTGATCAATATCTATCGAGCGATTTTTCAGTTTTTTAATGATTAAACAATGAAAAAAATATTCCTCCAATTTCTCATACGAAATAGACAAATCGGGAAGGAGGCCTTGGTACGGCCGCAAGGGGTCACACTTACTCCAAACTATTGTCAATAACGCACCCACTTTCGGGAGCGAGCGTAGTGAGCGGACAACAAACCTCTCCACTAGTTTCTGTTGCAAATGCGTAAAGTGAAAATGATGAAAATTAGGACCGACTTAATCATCTGCGAGACAACAAACAAGGGATTCTTATATATGTATTATAGCGTAGATTTACATATGTAACGTGATATGACCACTCTAGTGGTTCTGTTAACCAGAAGAGGACTACGCGATCGAACCTCAGCTGCGGTTTGCCGTGACGTGATACGTTCCAGAGTCACTGATCTTTTGTAGAATACAATAATGTTATAATATATTTATAACTCTAAAAAAATGTAAGAAGAAGCTACTTCTGTATGAGCGGCTTCAGGAATTTCAGGTGTGGGTTTGAACCTCAACATTTTCGCCCATTTTATTCATCATTAATGATTACTATTTATCAAAATTAAGCAAAATTCATGCCAATTTCGGTATTTTGGATTGAAATTTTTTTATCCGGTATAAAAACTGCCATTCCTTCTGCGAAAAAGAAAGCCCAGTCTAAAAATTGTAGATGGCAAAAAGAATAGTTCAAGTTGGTGATGACGGCAAAAAAAATCGAAATTTCAAAAAAACACAGTTATTGCGAAAAAACGTTCAACCATATGTATATGCCATATCATATACAAATTTCCGTAGAAAAATATATTGTAATTTTTCTTGTCAAACAGACACCTCTGTGACGTATTGAGACTGATCAATACGTCGATTAGAATAATATTAAGAGACATTCGGTCGAAATAAGTAGATCATGGAAAAGAGGAATATGATTTCTCTTTCCTGTGATCCAGACATGAGCTCAGCAGTCACATGGTATCATTTAGACATCATGGTCAGCGGTCTCACGGTGGCACCTGAGTCCAGCTTCCCCTGAAGAAGCTGTTTGACTGTATTAGTCTGTGTCAATGATGACATATGACTGTGTTGGTCAGGGCGAATCGTGGGACTGCTTACCCTGCAGTTTTAGGTCTTGAGCGCTTTGCAAAGTCTCTGTAAGGGCAGAGTACGGTCGGGAGTGAAGCTGGACGGTCATTCCAGCTCCTCCACATTTAATAACGCGTAAACCGAACCCCACATCCCAACCCTGTAGTGTATTTTAGTAAATAGTTCATTATAGCTTTTACAATTTCACTCGGTGTATCAATGAGAAGTACCTTCCGAACATCCAATATCCCACAACAGACCGAAGTGCGCGAATCCCCCGTGAGCTCACCGCGGAAGCTAGCCCAGTCGAAGTGAAGACAAATATAAGAAAGATAAAAAGAAAAAGCTCCTTTTACTTGAGTTTAACCCGGGGTTAAACTCAAAACGTCACACCTCCTTCAATATAATTGAAAAACCCAAAAAAAAACATGAAATTCTATTGAAAAAAAATCGTGAAACCGCTCGTATATTAACAATCCTTTGAATAACAAAAAACTTTGTTTCAAGGAAGGAGAAAGATGGAGATGATTGGATGGGAGTTTTAACCGAGAGCCAGGGAAATTTACGAGTGGAAATTTTGATTGATGGAGATTTTAACTGCTCCAGTTACTGCAAAAACTAGATTTTTGTTCCTGGATACTTTTTCACAGGAAAAATTTCCCCTGAAATTTGTTCCACAATTTTTATTTTTAACTAATTTCTCTGGAGAGAATCCGCATAGTACATGTCTTGGTCTATACCTCAAACCTTTTTATGCTTGTACCGTGATTTGTAGGACGTATTTTCTTTTGTTCTCTTTATCTGCTATTGAGAAAAAATATTGCAGGAGGAAAAAACAGTAAAACTCTTCGAAGTATGAAGTCACTGCACGTTTTAAAAGCACAAGGCATTATTCTTCAGGTGCATGAATTCAATTACTAGATGAAATGGAAGATCAGTAAAAGGAGAACGGTTATTACCATCCAATCTGGTCAAATATAAAATTAATTGGAAAGAGAAATACATTGTACATTAGAAATCCGCAACGACTTCATAATTTATCGGGTTTTGTTGTATTTTATTCTTGCTCCCATGATATTTATAACTGACTGAAGATAATGGCCAGAAATAGTCAATATTTTTGTTAGATTTTTTTGGTGTCAATAAACTTGACACAACACAACCCGAAAAGGAAATTTCTGTTTAAGGAAAAAATCAGTGATTACGTTCTTCATCTAAAAGGAATTTTTGATAGATACAAGTGAGAAGAAATGGATAACCATCTTAAAAGCATCGTTAATATCCTATCATTTTAATTTCCTTTTTGCACAGTGTCCGATTAGATTTATTGCGGATCCTTCCTATTTACTAAAGATGAAAGGAACGTGAAGTTGTTTTATATCGAAATATCTCGAAACTGAAACCTTCCCCTGATTTTTCAACAATTACAGATTTTAATCAGATTATTTTTAAAAGTAAAAAAAAAAGAATTAATCGAAGATTAAGAATTATTCATTGATGCTTCACTCTTCATTCTCTTAATTCTCTTTAAGTCATTATCAATATTTATAAAACATCTATGAGTATATGAAGTTTAATAAATTCGATTTCTTAATTTTCACAACAAAAAGATAAACGCGCATGAAAGCGCGCGCACAGATCTAGTTATTGATAATTATGCCTGTGAGTCTGGAATTCGATACTTGATTGTACGTTGATATGTTGAATAAATTTTCAGTCCTGTATGTTTTTTTTCATGTTGTCCCGGTATTACGTTATGTCTTCCATCATGAGAATATTTGTCGGTGTTTGAACAGAACAGGCAAAAAATGATTTTTAAAAATTTTAATTGGAAATCCGCCAGGGAATCCAAGAGTCTTCTTTCCAACCCCTAAACTCCTAAAAATCCTCGAATTAATCATTTATCCCCGAAAAATTTTAATTTCAATTTGAATCGTTGATTCGAGAATTCTTCGTCAACTTGAAGAGATAACAATGTGAGCTTTCATCTCCAAACTCGTTAACTGCCTTTTCGAAAACAGCCGGATCCAAAAACTCTTCCAAAAGAGTAGAATAAATATTCGAAAATCTGACAAAATGTCAACTAAAGAACGTGAATACATAGACTAAAGTATCGTAATTGACAATATAAATAACTCTTGTAGATTTATACTTGAATAAAGAGAAAAACCTAGAGCGCTTTAAAATCGAAGAGTCGCCGAAGTGGATTGCCAGGACAATTTACGATTCGAAACATTACCAGGTGTCTCTCCATCTTTTCTTTCCCAGAAAATTTAATTTCAAGTTTTCTCCTCTCGAAAGGAAATTGCAAATTTCCTAAAAAAGGTGAAGAAACAACGAGCATGTTCTCAAACAATTTTTTTTTCAACTAAAAAAATTACGAATTGAAAATTACCAAGAATACGAAGATTTGTGCTGAACGTGAACATAAAATTGGGCAAAATTTTATGTTCACGTTCAGCACAAATTTTCAAAACAAATTTTCAAAACAAAAAATTGAGCGAGTGTCCTGAAATGCATAATTTTTATCATAAAAATACACTTCGTTGTTTGAAAAAACAATTATTCTTAGCCCTATCTATTTATTATTTGATATCAGATGTATTTTGTATGTAAAAATATTAAATTTATTTGGAACAAGGGAGAGCAGAATTTCATTAATGCCATCCAATATTTAAAGATAAAAAGTATATTTCAGGACGAATGTTATGAGATTTTTTACTCGTGTGGAGTTGAAGGCGCTATTCGTGAACGATATGTTTCCGTAGTGATTTTCAGTTTCCCGAATTTAGGGTAAGGAAAATGAATCCTTAAGGGGTTACTTCGGAGTTTTGAAAGAATTTTCTCCACATATGTAGCCACTTACCAAAATATCTATTGACTCATTTAGAACCATCAAATATAGCGAGAATTTCCAAAAACCTATGTTTTATTTGGAAAGATCCCAATGTTATTACAGATTGTCAGTTCGAGAACAAATTTTCATACAATATTCAGAACACTAGAACAACCAACAGTGAGCATGAAAATTTGGATCAGATGGTTTTTAGATTGTACATCACAAGGTAGAACTACTCCCAGAAAAAATAGGATAATTCAATTTTTTCTAATTTTGTGATTTTTAGATTTGTGAGTGACGTAAAATTAAAAAATCATCCGATCCTAATTTTCATACTCAATTCCTTTTGTTCTAGTGTTCTTAATATTGCGTAAAAATTTGGATTCAATCCGACCATTCGTAATCTTATTGACACCTTTCAAAAATAAAATTGGTTTTTGAAACTTTGTACCACATTTGATGGTTTTATGCCGGTTAATACATGATTTGTCAAGTAAATAGCCATGTGGAAAAAGTTTAATTGTACAACGTTTAAAACTCAGTAAAGTATCCTTTTAAATAAAATAATAATAATAATATAATAGCAATCCTATAACTGAGGAAAAAATTTCTCTTCATTAAAATTGAAAGGGCAACATCTCGCATGCGTGATCCTTCTCTTGAATCAAAACATTTATACCGTTGTGAAAAGTAGAGTGACTTTTTTGCTTTAAACGAGACTTGTTTGAGAGTGTATTATTTTTCTCCCGGTGCAGTCTTCCCCTATTCCAAAGGAAACAACTTAAAGATGCCCTTAATAAAGAATTTACGACATTCTTACCCATCCTCAGGTCCAGATCTGTCCCAGTTATCTGTGATTACTTCCTCAGTCACTTGTATATTTAAATAATCATGACCCTGATCCTGTGGAACTATGTAGATCGACTCCATATCACTGGACTGTGGGACCATCAGGATCTCTGTGTCCGGTGGCAAGTCTTGTGTCGCTTCCTGCTCAGACCCTCCCTGGCCATCCTCCTCAATGCACACTTCCTCACAGGCTCCAATAACCTCGCCCTCCTGGGTCTCCAGATCCGCCTCAAGTCCACAAATGACCTCTTCGTGGATAACATTACCCACTTCCTCCACCCACTGGAGGGTAAGGTCACCTGACACGTCCATTTCTTCAGATTCAGAAGCAATCCTTATTCATCACTGAAATTCATTATTTTTTAGTCAGGCTTGATTTGCAAATTTATTCTGCGAAAGTCGATTGCATCAGTCTAAGCTGACCAAATCTTAATCATTTCTTTTTTTTCAAATAAATTCGGCATTGAATTGATGAATTGCAATGAATTGCGTTCGACATTTTTCGTGAATGTTCATGTATCTTGGGAACGATTCATTCCAGAATGAAATTCTAAAAGACCTTTTTTGTAATACAAGAATATGAAGAAACCGATGAATTTTCATACATCGCCTCAAGAAAGAGAAAATTCATCGGTAAATTAGGTTTGAACTCATTCAGGAAAACATAATTTCCATTTTACTGTCTTTTAAATGGTCGATTTCATCACAAAGATGTGAATCTTTCACAAATGATGTTGTTTTAATGAGTTCTTCGAAACCTGTGTTCCGGAGATATTTTCGAATCAATTCTCCGATTAAGTTTGACATTATCTTGGAAAATGTTATAAATCACACATGACTCCATTATTGATTGTAGATATATCTCGAGAACGAGAAGTTTTGGGAAAAAATAATAAAATAAAAACACTTACAAGAAAATTATCTCTTGACATTTTCAACCAGAATCGGGAGAAACGACTTACGTCTTACCAATTCACTGCTAATTCAAATTCAAGTTGTCTGAAGGAAAAAAGTAACGAATCATCAAACCAAAAGTTCGTTAGAGCCAAGGTTTTTTGTAGAATTTAAAACCTTTTGTAATTATACATGCAATACAATTAATGAGAAAAATTAATGAGGAAATTGATATTGAAGTAAAAGTTCTTCTTATTCCATCAGAATCAATTTTTCTTCAACTCAAATTGAAAATGTATTGAATTTTCCGATAGTCAAGTACTGCTTTCAATCATTTTTATTTAATTTTCCAAATTAAAAAATCCCAATTTGTAACAAAAAATATAATCAATCAAAACTTGTTGCACTTTATTTCCTTAAAATGTTGACATTTGATTGGAAAAACAAAGGACAATCCTTATTATTGAAAAAAAAGATGAAACTAGATATATAGCGAGCAGATTTTCCCCATCCAAATCAATAAATAAAAATCAATCAAATACTTCGATGGTAGAAATTACTTTTGTGATCAATTGTTAATCAATTATCATATGTACAATGCCCCCCCCCCACAGAAAAATTACGAATGTTCGAAATCCCCACAATCAATTGAACATCAAACGAAGGAAAAATTGAAAATAGCAAAACGCCTCTAAATTTAATTGCAGACCCAATCTTCCTAATTCGCCAATCGAGATCTCTTCTGACCAGCATCCTAACCCACACCCATCTCCCAAAAAGAGCCGTCTCTCTGCCAAAAGCCTTAAGAACCCCAAAACATCCCCTAAAAGCAACAATAAAAACGTCGAAAACTCAAAGATCCACAAAACTTGAAATTCGAGATGCTGCACCCCGCAACCAGTGGTCGACAGTCTTTGTTCTGTTTCCACTCACCCGCCCAAAACCCCTCGAACCCCCCAACAATCACGGAAAAAACACCAAAAGCCTTAAAAATTCTTTAAACTCCCCTAGAAATCCAAATAACCCCTCACTTGACATTTAATTTCTAGGTTATCCCGATGAAAAGAGGTTATACCTCGTCAAATGAACTCAGGCAACTGCGACAAATCATTGCACAAGTCCAACTAACCCCCAACCGGTGCTCAAATCCCAAAAAAAACTCCCGATAATGTCCGTAAACTCGCCGAAGGCCCCTGAAACTGGAAAAAAAGTAATTTCCTTCCCACACTAGCCGAAATTCGAAGAAATTCGTGTCGCAAAAAAACACGAAGATTATTTTCTCCAATTATCGTGGACTAATGTTAAACGTCGGCCATGGCGGACTGGCGCCAAGCTAGCACAACCTAGCCACTAAAAACTCCATTTTCCTCTCAGTAAAAACTACACAATATTTTTATCACCGCGAATAAAGCTTTTTCAAGACCTATCTAATTCAACAATTATCATTTATTTTTAACAACTACTCACTGGCCTCAGTCAACGATGAAACTATACACTGGCACTTGATGTGGTTAAATAACCTAACCAATAATTTTTGAGGATTTATTTTGTGTCTTTTTGAGAGAGAACACCGACGACGAAAAAACGGCACAAGCGTCGACCTTCGGCTACCGTCGGTTGTTTTCAACGGGTTTTTCTGTGGGGAGGGGATGTTTTTAAGGGGCCAAAATGGCGGTCTGGCTTCTCCCACTTGTCGATGATTAGGTAGATCAAATGCGCGGTAAGGGACTCTGGGGTCAACTGAATCCCCAGAATCATTCCAACTAATTTAATGACCAATGTTTAGAATTTTTTTTTCAAGAAAAAAATCAATTTCAAGTTTATTTTAGAGGATTTAAGAAAAAAAAATTTTTTGTTTGAAGGTTTGAAAAGTTTCTTACGGGTGGAGAAGATGTTTGGAGTCAATGGAGATGCTGGAAGATATATATTTTATCGAAAGTATATTTGTTTATGATTTTTCTCATGCAGATAAATTATTATGTATTTTTTTTATTGCGAAATTGTGAGAATTTTTCTTTGGTTTTTTACGTTTTTCGGGTTAGAGGGATGACTTCCGGTGGTAGGAGACGTTATGCTGATTCCCGAGGTATGGGTGGGGGGTCAGTCGATCTCGCCACAAAAGAAGGATCGTGGCTGGGTATCATACCCCGGCTGTCTCGAATTTAGCTATATATATACGACTTGACGTCCCCCACCACTCAGATCCAAGTTTCTTCTTTCCCATTCTTTCCTGGCGGCGAGAGGTGATTTAACCTCAAGAAAGGGATCAAATTGTTTATTGCTTAGAAAATTACTAAGTATTTTTGGAGTAATTGAATTCTCTAGATGCTGTGGTGAATTTGAGAGATTTCTTGGATGGAAACATCTTGACGTGTTTGATAATCACTTGCAGAAGTGGAAGAAGTGAATTTGTAAATTTTATAATTCAATAAATATTAATCAAAAAGTGAATTTTTTGGAGAAATGTCGTACCAGGGTTCACCTTTTTCTGGGAGGTATGGTCCCGAGGATTATGAACTCGATGAGGATAATGATGAGTACTTGGACGATGAGAGAGATGTTGAAGACCCTGATGAAACTGATGAAGGTGATTATCATGGTTTTTTAATTTATTTTTCCTGTTAAAATCTGTTGGTTATCTCTTGCCAAATTGATGATAGAAAAATATTTTTTTGAGTGCAGCAAGAATCACAACAGTATAACACAAAATTTACTTGTGTAGTCAAATTAGACTCAAAAATTGCCAAACCTAGTAATTAATCCTCCGTCCATGAAAAAATAGCCATTAGATAGATAAAAATTTCCTGAACAACATATCAAATTGTTCAATAACAGATTGATGTACTACATATTAAAAATAATTAAAAACGAGTCGTTTTCGTTCGGGTCAATGACAAAAACATTCGTAGTTTCGGCTAAACTCCATCGATTGAAAAAAAAACACATACCACATTGTAGAGGAGCTAATTCCACACGAAAATGATATGAGGAGTCAAAGAGGATAGACCTGAGTAGTGGCCCGGATCGGGGGGTTTGACTGACTCCAAAAATGTTAGTTGGTACCCCACGGGAAAGGTGGCGTCCCGGTCGAATTGTCGGTAAATGTGAGTCGGGTGCGTGAGTAACTCGGCAGTAGCAGTCCCGCTGTGACAGGGACAGGTTCGGAGAGATATTTTTGTCCTCCTTGTACTCAATGTTTACTTTATGTTTTTCAGTTGATTTATTCGCCGACTAATTAATATTAAGGGATGAAACAAAGACTGTTTAAAAGAATTAAATTCCCCATCCATCAACCCCCGTTTCATCCCTTAATCTCTGCAATAAAAAAATTAATATTGCGACGAAAGTCACGGGGCTATAAGAAACCCAATGTTTTCTCGGCGCAGAGTGACTCCCCAATAATTCGCCCGCTAATTAAAAAATCGTCTCTCCCCTCCTAATTAACATTAAGGAATGAAACCAATGCTGTTCGATGGAGAATTAAATTCCCCATCCTTCAACCCCCGTTTTATTCCTTAATCTCTGTAATAAGAAAATTAATATTGCGACGAAAGTCGCGGCGCTATGAAAAACTCGATGGTTTCTCGGCGCAGACTCCCGACAACTTGCCCGCTAATTAAAAAATCGTATCTCTGCTGCTAATTAACATTAAGGAATGAAACCAATGCTGTTCGATGGAGAATTAAATTCCCCAACCTTCAACCCCCGTTTCATTCCTTAATCTCTGTAAT